AGAAAAACCAATGCTTTAAATGAACAAAAAATTCAAAAGTTAATTACACTGGCTTGTTTTCCATTTCTATCTCCATGGTCTGAAAAACTAAGCACAGCTTACCTGAATTGATGTATGGATCTTACAAAAATCTAAAAGGTCTCCACGGTTTTTGAGATGATTGTTGTGCTTGGCTCCTTGGCTTTTCAGCAAGGTGTCACCAACATCACATAAAGTTTTAGAGATTGATTGCTTGCAGGTTAATTTGAAGAATCAGAGGCCAGGAAAATGATTCAGCCTTTATACACAACATATGTTATCTACACATCAGATAAGTAAATCTTATACAGAATGACATAATTGACATTTGACAGGCTTGCATGCATTCACAATACTTGTCTGAGCAACTTCATTTTTTAAAATTGTATCCTCTTTTATGCCTGGCTCTGAGTCTTGTTTTCATCCTGTAAGAGCAAAATAGCAAATACAAAGCATTAAGAGAAGGTAAAAATGCTTGGAAGGACCAAATTTACAAATGTTAAAAAAAATCAGCAACAACCTTCCTCATAGTTAAGTTGGTAGAAGAAGTCATGCACTAGTAGAATAAGACTAATGAGTTCAGTGGTAAAACTTTGATGCTACTCTATACCAATTGCATAATTGGTTTTAATTTGGCAAATAAAATCCAACCTCACAATCAGCGTTGAAGTCTGTGGTCTGGGTTGGGCTATCAAGCCATGATGCCAGCCTTTAATTTTCGAATCTTTTTTTACTTTCTATTTTATTAGTTTCTGCAACAAATGAAGCGTCTCAACCCTGTAGCCCGCACTGGTAATTGCTCACTATCATCGTCTTGCTGCTCATTATCATCAACCTGCTGCTCACTATCATCATCCTGATGCAGCAAACTAGGAATTTAGAATGGTAGTAGAGCATTTGAATCGAGAAATTATTAGTATAACATTTTAAAACTTGAAATTACATATACTGAAAGGGGAAATAAATTATCAACTTAATTTGCTTTTGAATTGTAGGTAACAATGGTAATAGATAATAAATTTGGTTTTAGTTGCTAAGTACCATAAATAAATAGAAAAAATAAAAAAGATTTAGCAGTAGTACCTAAAAGATTGAAAGAAGTAAATGCATAATTGAAATCAATCAAGAAGACAAGGGAATTGAAGAAAAAAGATTTACTATTATATATAGTTAAAGGCTGAAGATACCTCAATGGGAGCTCCTTCGCGTTGGATCCATCTGTAGTCTATTTTGATGTTTCGAATGTGAGAGATGCAGTCCCACTCGGCTCCACTTCCTCTGGTGCATCTTTCCTTTAACTCAGGGCATCCATCAATATCAAGACTTTCTAATTTGGAGATGCATCGGATGGCTTTCATATGTTTCAGAGATTTGCAGTCGGAAATCGTCAGAGTTTGAAGAGAGGATAAGTTTCCAAACCAATTCGGCAAAGCTTCCAGTCCATCAAAATCCCTTATTCCGAGAGACTTAAGGGCAGTTAGGTGTTGAATTTGATCCAGCAGACATTCTCTTGGTTCTCCCCATGCAATCAAAGTCAATCCTTCAAGATGAGATCCGATGAAGCCCAGATCTGGAAATTCCTTGAGCTCTGTTGAGAAACCACCAATACTCAGCCACTTCAAGCGAGCAAGGCAGGCAGGGTTAGGGATGCTCCAGCTCCTCCTCAAATCATCTGGAATAGAGATTAGATTATCACAGTTGGCGATATCCAATTCCTTAATAGCAGTGCATGATGGCAACCCACTTGGCAAACTTCTTAATCCACCACAACCCGTTATCCATAAATTCTGAAGAGATGAAAGCCCATAAAGGTTCGGAAAGGACATCAAACCGTTGCACCACCTTACAGTCAACTCTTTGAGACACGTGACAGTAGATAAATCCTCTCCTATGCTTTTCAATTGCCCACACTCGCGTATTTCAATTCTTTGAAGAGCGGACAACCCATGGAGGTTCGGAAAGGACATCAAACCGTTGCACCCGCTTACAGTCAACTCTTTGAGACACGTGACAGTAGATAAATCCTCTCCTATGCTTTCCAATTGCCCACACCAGTGTATTTCAATTTTTTGAAGAGAGGACAGCCCATGGAGGTTCGGAAAGGACATCAAACCCTTGCACCAGCCTACAGTCAACTCTTTGAGACACGTGGCAGTAGATAAATCTTCTCCTATGCTTTTCAATTGCCCACACCCGACTATTACAATTTTTTGAAGAGAGGACAGCCCATGGAGGTTCGGAAAGGACATCAAACCATTGCACGACCATATAATCAACTCTTTGAGACACGTGGCAGTAGATAAATCCTCTCCTATGCTTTTCAATTGCCCACACCCGCCTATTACAATTTTTTGAAGAGAGGACGACCCATATACACTGGACATGGACATCAGGTTATAACAATTCCGAATATTTAACTCTTGTAGACAGGTGGAGATAAATGGAGCATCATCTCCAATCATCTTCAATTCCGTGCATTGTTGAAGTTCAAGTACCTCAAGGGATTGTAATTTACTAATCATCGGAAGATTTTCCAATTTACCACAATCCTCTATATGTACTTCTTTGAGAGACTTCATGGCAGCTTGTCCAACCTCTACCCCAACCAGTTCTTCACATTCCTTAATGATGAGTTGCTGAAGGGACGAATCTGCAATGCTTTTCAAATTCTTGCAATTTTTAATTTCCACCTGTGCCTCCTTGCTGAGTGACAGTGATGGAATGCTTTGCAACCAAGGACATGCAGAAAAGGTCATGGACATTAGATTTTTGAGAAAATTTTTTGTTTCTAACATCCATGAAGGACAACCTTTCCCACAGTAGTGTTCAATAGTTAGGCCTTTCAAATTTGAATGAGGTTGGAGGCCTTCCAAGATATCTAAATCTTGTTTGCATCTATCTTCACTAAGATTAGACTCCCCACCAAACTGCAACTGCAACTCCTGAATTGTACCCTTTTCAGAAAGTCTTGCTCCCATGGCTTCTTCTTTGTCTCTAACCATATCCAAATTACGAATCTCTAATTTTCCCCGAAGTTGGCTTAAACATCCCAATTCTTCAATTTGATGTCCCTTCTGTTGGCCCACAACAAATAATTGTAATGTTTTCAAACAAGTTAATCCACCAATCCCAGCTGGCATAAGCTTTTCATCATTGAAATAAATGTGTCTCAAATTGACTAAATCCCATATTCCTTTCAAAGGCCTCTTGATTTCCCCACAATTCATAAATCTAAATGTCTGCAAATGATAGAGCTTAGTGATGAATTTGGGAAGTTCTTTGATTTTAGTTTCTGAAACATCTAAAAACCTTAAATGCTTCATTTTCCCCAAAAAAGCTGGCAACTCATCAATATTAGCACCACAGAAACTGAGAACTCGCACCTTTATAAAGTTTTCAAGCTTGTTTTGAGAAACATTAACACGTGAAAACAAGGTACGCAATTCCCTTATTTTCGTTTCTGGCATACCCTCCTTAGAAATGAGATTCAAATGTCGAATGTCTGCAGCAATATCACTACTACTACTACCCTCCAAAATCAACGTTTGAGACTCTGAAACAGATTGTGCTAGATCATGAATGAAATCATGCACTTTGCAAGAAATAATACTACCATAAGAGTCTTTTTTTGCATCTTGAAATAAGGAGTATGAGAACAAGTCATTGAAATACTTGCCACCAATATCTTCCATCTCCTTGTAGCGTTTTCTAGACGGTTGGAGATACCCTTCACCCATCCAGAGCTGGATTAACATCTCCTTTTCCATGACAAAGTCTTTGGGGAAAATAGAGCAAAAAGCAAAACATTGTTTCAAAGCAGGTGTTGGCAAGCGATTAAAACTTAACTGTAACACACGCAAAACTCCTCCGACTTCTTGTATTGAACCCCATTCTTCACTGTTATTTTTAATTGACAACCAGACATCCTTGCTCCTATTATTGCACAAAAAACCCCCAATAACATTTGCAACTAACGCTACACCTTAACATTTTCTAGCAATGTCCCATCCAATCCCCTCCAATTCTGAAGGGAATGATGGGCTAACAGATACTCTTTGCTTGATTATGGACCAACAATCCTCATCTGCTAGCTTCCTGAGATCATGGATGTGATCAGGAGGTGTTCCCATTAAGGAAGCTACATTTTTACTTCGAGTTGTGACAAGAACCCTACCCCCAACTTTTTCACCTATTGTCAACAAACAGTTCCTTAGGGATTCCAATTTTTTGGTATCTTCATCCCATACATCATCTAATATGAGGAGATACTTTTTTCCCTCATGCTCGTCCTTTTTGGCTTTTCCCTCCGGCTCATCTTTTCTGGCCTCTTCCTTCAACTTTTCTTCTTTGGCCTTTTCCTCCATCTTTTCTTGTAGTTTTTTGACTAAGCTATTTTGACTCATATGCTCCACTTTGTTATCATCAGTAACAGTTTTCAACATCTCTACTAAAATCTGTATCACCTCAAAATTTTTAGAAACACAAACCCATATTATTTTGAAAAAACAACGTCGAATCTGCTCATTGTTGCACACTAGTTTGGCCATGGTAGTTTTGCCTATGCCTCCCATACCCACTATGGATACGACATGGAGAGATTGATCATTACTCGAGTCAATCAATGATTGGACAACTTCTGGGACCTCCTTTTTTCTTCCTACCATATTTGATGCATCACCAATTGAAGAATCTGTCTGTTGGATTTCTATCTGTTCAGGAAACTTGTTTGCAAGTCTATATTGAAGCCCTAGTCCAGTGGCCCAATCATTAAGGCTAGCTAGATCTAAATTCAAATCCTTAATCCTGTTAGCTATCTTAAGGCGAAAAGCTAAAGGATTGGAAAGAGTAAAGAAATAGCTGACCTTTTTCCACATATGTTTTTGAGCCACCTTGTACCTTAGATGTTCATATGCAATCTCATCTACCACATTGTCAGCTTCATCAATTATATACTCCAGCTCCTTAAGCCAAGGCTGCAAATCAGAGTAACCCGTCACCTTCTTCTCTTCTGCATCTTGCAGCACCCCCCTTACCATGCTCAGCACCACACGGAACTTCTTGAGCTCTTGCTTGAATCCCACTGCTAAGTTAAGTTGCTCGGTAGTAGCTGAAATCACCTTGGATATTGTGACATCCATGAGAGGACCAAGAATAAGGTCGGCCATATTGACTTCAGTAGTTTGGAAGAGAGAAATGTTTGGAGATTGTATAGCAGAAAAGAGGAGAGAATGATGTGAAGGGGGAAGAGAATAGCTACAGGCAACATTTATACATGCAAACAATAGAAGGTGAAGGTCGAAGATTGGTGCTTGTCCAACGAATGAAGAAAAAGATAAAATGGATGCGTGATGAGGAGGAAAAGATAAAGGATCACCCTATATTATCTTTCTTAAAACACAAATATTCTTCTCCTCCATTGTTGTTACTTAATCAGTGAATGTAATATTCCTTAATTGTAGCATCTTAGATTTCTTTAAACTAAATATATAATACATAGCATATTTCCTCTTCTAAGAAAAGAATAATCCCTTTTCCAATCAAAAAAGTTGAAATGATGAGGGAAGAGGGGGTAAAAAATAAAGGGTTCCTCTTTCCTCTTACGTGTAAACTTCTCTCTTTACGTTTTGTGGATACCTGATTTTCCCAAATTTGGAGTGGCTTCCTTTCTTCTTCACCGTGACTTACCACACCATCTTCTATGAATCTATCATCATTTTCCTTTAATTTAGCTTGGGCCAGATTAACTGCCTGGAATTGGGCCTATCTAACGGAGAAACATGAGGTTTCAGCTTTTTGGGTTGAGTATCTTAAGCCCAAATTTGCTTTTCAAAATAAAACCATTTTAAGGCCAGATTGATTTCCCCCCTTCTTCAATGGGTTATTTGGTTAGGGAATTAATTTATTAAAAAAAAATTATTGAAAAATATTATATAAAAAGTTATTAAATTTT